ATATAGCTATATAAAGTGCCTACAAATTATCTGTCTATTACATAGCCCTTCGTTAAAGCGAAGTAGATTTTATAGTTTACACTTTCGATTATATTTGTCCTAAACGACTGATTCGGCCCTGTATTCGTAAGTGTTCTGACGACCTAGGCTACTTGGAGACAGGTAAGGCAGAATAGAGCAAAATTAGGTACTAGGACACACAAACAGGCGGTTGTTCAAAGCTATCATCGAAATCGCTTGAAGACTAATGGTTGTAACTAATTAAACGCAGGCTGCTATGTCTAATAAAATTACCGTAACGTTCGCACTAATGAACTTAAGAGTAAAATTTCTATTCATTAATATCCTGTAGGCATGCCTTAGCTCAGATTTTTTTATATAGACCCGCCCCAGTTCATTTTTGTGTAGTTTCACCTGCATAGCCTTATATCACACTGCAGTACAGCATGCATAACTTATTTCAAGTTTATTTCATATCAATGTTTTATTTGTATCTGGTTCCCTTCCCAAATTCACCTCCTTAATATCCATGTTTTTCCAATGGTAGTATACTTCTACAAATGGCAATCCCGCCCAGAGACACTGGCCTAGGTTCAAATCTAGGCCCGCGCGAATCGTCTGCATAGCAGTATTTGGTCGTGGCCAATTGATAGAACGGTCGTTCTAAAAAGCTGCACTCTTCCTAGTTTAGGTAATTTTTTATATGACTAGATTGTACAATTCTTAGTAAAGCTCTACTTTTGGACATGATAGTTCCCTCAGTCTTGCCACTGAGCCGTAGACTGAATATACCCAAATAAATCTGCAACAGAAAGACATTGAAAATCTCATCATGTATAAAGAAAACTACTACTAAATATCATCCAGTCTTGAAATCAGTCTTGCAAGGCTTCTTCTACAATTTGAAAGGGTAAGGATCAACTCCGCTGGACAGGATCGTCCTGTCCCCACAGTTGTACTGTTGCAACTACTTCTAGTATATGGTTACGCCTACCGTAGTTTCAGTAAATAGAAACGAATCGAACGAACTGATGTATAGAGCGAATTCGCTCACTCGAGGGTATTCATTACTGCCGGAATAACCGAAACGAAATTGCCCATGGATCAACGATAAACAAGCGCCCCTGACTTGAAAGGGATTCATTTAGGTATAACGATATTCACGTTACTAAATAAAGCAACCGTAAGCATCTATTAGGGACTATTTTTCAAGATAGTTTATACTAAGATACTATCGAAAGGAGGAGCGCTGCAGTAGCCACAATTCGGGATCAATATCCGTCACCTAAACATGAATCGAGCTACTTAAATTAAAAACAATGGATATGTAGTAGGTTGGTGTTTTCTTATTGCCCTCTTAATTCTGAGGAGGGTGCATTCAGTAAATAGAACTCTTCTATTTCCTCTAAAGTCCAGTATTATCAATGCCCAATTTTTGACACATTTCTTCTCGCATCTTGAACTTTTGTATTTTCCCCGAGGCAGTCTTTGGAAATGTGTCAGTGAACACGATGTACCGTGGCACCTTGAAATGCGCCAACTGCAAACGACCAAATTAGAAAAACAACAGTGTCAGTGTATGGTTACAAACGATGTTATACGGTCGATCTGCCGAAAACGCACCTCAAATATAATCGAAGTTCTAAACGGGACGGCAATTCAATTCTGTACAAAGAGTGTTCAGGGTCCTCAGAACTCAGTCAGCGAAAGTGACTATGCGTAGTGTTCCTCAGAGGCACTGCTCATTTTGGGTTAGGTTGCAAACCTAGCAAGCAGGTTCCCTATGATTTGACAAGCGACTAAATTAGCGTAATCGTATATACTAGGCTCAAAATATATAATATTAAAAAATGTAATTCTGCATTAATTAATGGACTACATTAATGTATAGATGCGTTTACTAAACAGCAAATAGTTTTCTTGGCTAAGGTCGTTTGTGGGTAGGTACCTTTCCTCTGTAGTAGTCCCTTACAGCCTGTTCGTTGATCACACCACTGCTGGTTTTCTTCACCCTAAGCCAAACGCAAACTTCTTCTCCCATACGTTCATCCGGAACGCCGCACACATAGGCTTCTTCGACCTTCAACAAATGCATCGCGTGCCATTATATATATATAGATGCGTATACCAGATAGACAAACAGATTTTCAGTAACCGGGCATCGGCGCATGTCTAGCAGGCAGCAGCCACATGGCTGCGGTACCCTTTCGGTTATAGCGTATAAAAGGTTAACGGTAAATCTACTGAATCAATAGCTTCGTTGTTTATTTTGTTGTTTGACACCTTCATAACTGTTCGGAGAACAAGGTTTTCTGCTACGCAACAATTTAATTTCGAGTTTATGACGCCTCTACATATTTCATACACGCTAACATTCGGCCCCACGGGGCCGAGTGGAACAAAAAGGCCTATTCCTTTTTTATTACCTTGTATGGGGTATAAATTAAGTACCTATTTTGTCAATCGCAGACAGTACGCAAAACTATTGTCACTTGCAGACGGACTTTCATAGCGCGACGCTCTGACCTCAGCTTGTGTCACGACAGAAAAATGGACGCTTTTTTTCTGATTTTTCGCTGTATAGCTTTTAAAATCATTCGCTTCCGCTCACCCGCGCTTAAAGTCAGACGCGCTGTTTGTTAGCGCTTCGGCACACACTTTGTCCGCCGGCGGTTCGTAGAATGTCACCATTCCACTTGTAGCCAGGTGTTCCAGGCATAGGACAGACAAGGTACGTCGGCAATTTGCCGTATTTAGCAATACGAAATGTACGTTGTTTGTAACTCATTTTTATCGAGCGCCGTATTTTGGGAGGTAGTTGCGTCCGCCATTGTATAGAATGAAGACGCAACAAAAAAAATCAAAAACTACAGACAACCAATTAGATTCAAGAGTGCAAACAGATCGATATCATTCGCCTCATCCATACCTCGATTTAATGAGATAATTTATTAATTAGACGTTAGATTACAGAACTAACTTGTGGCATTCCCAACAGTAAGTTTTCGATTTCTGCAGGATAGATATTTTCACCGCCTCGAATGATTATGTCCTTGATACGGCCTGTTATCGTTAGCGAACCGTCAGGACTCATGACAGCTTCATCGCTAAAATAAAAGTCGACAAGTTGAAACTTTCGCAAAAACATGATATGCTTATATATATATATATATATATATATATATATATATATATATATATATATATTCAAGCTTATATACGTATATTTATTAAGCATGAACAAAATTATCTAAAAACATATGCTAATATTATACACCATATGTTTCTAGATAATTTTGTTCAGAAATAACCTCGCTTTCAAGTCAAATTATTTTTCGTTGGAAGATACTGAAAGCTAGTCAAACATTCGTGTCTAGCGCACCTACTTACCCTGAACGGAACCATCCGTTTTCAATGATCTCCCCAACCTTATCTGATTCATGAAGATAGCCTCGAAAGACATGGTATCCTCTCGAGCAGAGTTCACCGCGCGTTCCAAACGGCACCACTTTGCCTTCTTTGTCCACGATTTTTACCTACATTTGTCGTGTCCCAGCTAATATATAGTTAAATCAAAAAATCTACCAGCTACATAAACGTGGCAAAATCCTGTACAGCGCAAAAATTGCCGTTACCCGATCCGTGGAATGAGGCAAAACTTAGGCGCATTGAAGACCAACTCAAACACGTAAAGTTAGTGTATAGGAGTTTGTTCTCTATAGTGAAATCGGTTTTTTTTTTTCTTACTCGTTCACAAGCGTTTAGGACAAGTGTTACCTCTATATGGTCCATAGCAATTCCAACGGATTCTGGTCTCTTCTGGAGCAGTTCGTGTTGAGTAAACGACACAACAGGACTCATTTCGGTTGAGCCGTAGGCAATCTGCAATTGATGTATCATTACTCTGCGGAGCTGTATGTTGTCGTTGGGCAACGATCGTCGAGATGCATATATATAACGGATTTTAAAGAGTACAAAATACATAGAGAATTGCCATAGTGAAATGAAATGTACCAACATGAAGTGTCTTTAGTTCCATTTGTTTGATCACTTTCTCTCGGAGAGTGAGAGGGCATGGTGACCCTGCCATTATTCCTGAATGGAGTGACGTCAGGTCATGAACGGTGGGGTCTAACTGAGACAGCATGTCTACATACATAGTTGGAGTTCCTAAAACCATCGTACATCTATGCGAGAATAACATGAGTTACACAAAGTTAGCGACGTAAATCATGAAAGAACGGATCTCCAACAACGTCCGATCATTTTAGTTGAAGCGTTCGTATAGTATGTTTATATCTGCAAAAGTTGTTTTGTGCCGCTCCATACTCTGCTCATGTTTGCTTTGCGAAAAGTGTACATGACTACGAGATTCTTTCAAAGCGAAGTTTAGTTTCGACGATCCGAGAGGCTCCTATTTGGAACTCGGGCCAAATGATTGTTTTAAAGTTATCGCCATTTCAGTCAGCCAGCCTAGATTCTACTGCAACTTCGTGTGAGAGCTTCGAATAATTAGAATATACGTGAATTAAGCGGTATAAGTAGTAGACACTTACTTGTGTTTAGTTATCGCGGTTAACGCGGCTGCGGCCTGAAACCGTGGGGCTGGCATGACGAGTTTGGCGCCGTGAATGATCGCACTGAGTGAGCCAATGACACATCCAAAACAATGTATGAGCGGCACGTTTAAGCATACGGAAGCTGCGGAGTCCTGAGCTACACCTGACCACTCTCCAAGAGTCCGCGCATTGTTCACGATATTGTGATGTGTAAGGGGTACTGCCTAAGTTATCAACCAACAAACAAAGCAACCTACATATTGTACTATGTTGAAACAACCAAAGTGAATGTTGAACGAATGAACCTATAAGGTGTCACCAGCAATACAAAGCTATTATACGTGACCGAAACTAATTTACGTGAGAAAAAAAAAAAAGCTGAATTTAGTGTTTAAAATATTTATAATATGAAGCTCGCTGCCTCTGCATACATTGTTTTGCATACATTATTTGGCTCGCAATGGAACTCTGTAGTAAACCCTATCGAATTAACAAGTCGATTTTTAATAAGATGGAATTGATCACCTTTGGGTAGCCCGTTGTCCCAGACGTGAATTGTACGTTTGTAAATGAGTCAACATCTAATTTCGAGTTGATCTGGTCCGCGGCGCGGGAAAGCGCCGGCGTATACGCCTCCAGAATGTCCTTATAGAACACACAACCACTAAAATATCATTTAGATAACTACTTCTCGCCCTACCCCTGTAATGGGTAATCTGCTATACCTAGCAATACGATTCAACTACGATCAAAACTAGGCATGAATATACTTCGTTTCAGGCCAACCGTCTGGACGACAAAATGATATCCTTGTTTTATATTACCATCCTTTTTTGCATCGACGGCATGCAGAATTAAGTGCGTCCTAAACGCCTGACAAAGGGTACGTCGGTCTCTCGTTATGCTATACAACGCATAGATTATATATCTACAGCCTGTTCACATGTTCGATAGCAAAACTGCCTAAAAAATAGTCTTTTTGTTTTTTTTTTTTTTGAATAACTGTTGAATAAAACGCAATTATTTTCGTGAATATATTTAAAACGAGACACGAAAGCAATGTTCGTTCACAGTCACGAAAGTTACTTGCGATTTGGCTTTACGACTTGCCGAGTTACTAACCTATAAATATAAAATACTGCACGAACTTTAACGTTAAAGTCAAGAGAAACTAACCCTTTTTTGTCTGATCCAAGGTTTATAATTGTTTGAAGATGGGGAACCCGCTTTGATTTCAATTGAGTTGGTACCATTTTTTCCAGTCCGGGTATCAGTTCCGACATCATACAATGAAAATTCTGCACGTTATACTTTTCCTCGCCGATAAGCAAAACTTTGCATTGGGCCTAGAAAAAAAAAGAGTGCTAGAATTAGCCGCCGGTTAAAATAGTGACTTGTTTAAGCTACCTCTGTCAATTTACAGTGTGTATAGGTAGATACAGCACATATATGCAACAGATATAACATAGATGCATCAGATTCCATATGTTAATGTGTAGGAATGAATCCCGTATTAGACCTCTGATAAGTATTTAACCTACCAGATTGAGTACGTATTCGAGTTCGGGCGTTTGAAAGGCAGGATTAATGTTAACAAATATCCAGCCCAGTTTAGCCGTCGCAAATTGAGCGACCATGTACTCATAAACGTTCGCGGAGATGATTCCCACCATTGTTGAGACTGGGTAGCCTAGACTTAGCAAACCTCCGGCCAATTTGTCGACCTCATTAGACAAAAGATAGATAGTATTTATACATCTGAACGTATCTTTCTAGTAAACCTTATTTCAAACACATACATTGATTCGTTGAATTCATTTGGGCGTTTGACATATGATAAAATCAGTGGACATTTCTAAAACTGATACAACCTCTCCTCTGACGCCCCAGCTAACTGAATAAGCACGCTAATTTATTGGTAAGTATGATCCTAGCACTGTTTTGCGGTGGCGTCACAATCAAGGCTCAGTTAATGGAGGCTCTAACAAGCTAGTAACGTATCACAAAGCCTCTGTATTCAGCTGCATGTTACGGGTTACTCCCTGTATGTATAACGTGCCGCAGCTTGGCTGAGTGGTGGTCATGGGGCAGATACTGACATCTTGCGCAAACTGGTCGTAGTTCTTGTTGATGCCCTGGTGACACGACACAACTGCTGGCATGTTGCCCTTTGAGTCAGCTGTCGCCTTCAAAACATCGTACGTCGTACATGCAAGCAGAGGACGAGAACTTGCCCCATGCCAATAGCTGTGATGGCGGAGTTGGGTCGCTGTCACCGGACGATGGTGATTTCCGTAGCTGTATTAAGAAGATATTAATATATTATATTCCAATTAATAACTAGTCGCTAAGTTTGTTATTACAGACTCATACTTTATAAGTATCTCTTCAATGCATCTATATACTGCAAGAATAAATATCTGAGTCTACAGCGAACTTTCAAAGACAGAATGCGTTAACTTGGACTCAAGCTTCAAGCTTCGTACCTCAGTGACTGTGCTCTACGACTCCCTGTTAGAGCTTTAAAGCGGTCGCTGCTAACGACCCTATCGAATAACTGCCATTTGCCGTGGGACAGAGTTTGTGACAGTGCTAAAATCGTAGGCATCACTCTGCAGCTATTCAGAGATGCCGTCATACCGTTGCAAGGTCCTTGAGCCCAGGTCCACCGGAAGACGAGGTGAAAAACTTCTGTCAATTTAAGGCTCGCAGTCAGTCATTTATTAATGGCTGCGATCTATGGCGACGATCTTAATTAATTGTTGCTCTAAACTTACATCTGCTGATGACTGAATGAAAATTTGATTTCGTCCTACTACAACAACCTGACACCCTTGGCGACAGATCGAAACACCGTTCTATTTATCATTGTATATTGCAAGAACTATAATCCAATTGACAATAGATTATTGTTCTTGCTTCCCTACCTAATCGTCACCTTAACCTATTATAAGGTTACCTAATAGTGATAATAATTTCTAATATTCTATTCAGTGCAAACTACATTTGTGCCGCACCTCAACTCGCATAGAAAATATCTTTGTTACTATAACGACAAGAACTGTAATCCGAAGCACAGCAAGGACATCTTGAAAACTGACCAAGGAGAGAATAATTCGAGTAATTAGTACGAAGTAACGAAGTTAGTCCCCGAGCTAGACGCCATAGTTTCGTTCTCACGAATAAAAGCTCTCACATCGTTCAAGTGGATAAACTGTTCTCTAGAAAATCCATCTGGCTACCTACATGGTAGGCGAAACTAGACTTTTCCTTTTTTTTTTGGTTTTTTTTCGATCGTATCTTACAGCCTGCTACACTTTATTGTCAGTGATTTATGTTAGTGTTTCACTGGTTTAATTTTAACTACATTTTAACTGTACATAAGATAACTATGCATAAGATACGACCATAGCTACAAACACCTGTCCGATTACATAGATTTCTATTTTCATTAGGGGGAAAATTGCTTTCGTTTGAAACTGATAGTCTAATTTTTGCGCCAGGTTTACTTTATTGTTAGCAAGTTTTTACCACGATTTCGAAAACGCTTAATGTGTAAAAGGTTTGTTATGAATGAATGGTTTCGTGACCCTGTCTGGTCTACGTTCCATTCGTTGACGGCCGAACAAAAAATATTCATTAAACCAGCTCCTGAATAGATTATGTTTAGCCAAAAAGCCCGTAGAATTGATGAGCCATATCCACGCGTCACGCGAACCTCTGCACAGCTTAATACAACGAGTACATTATATACGTCACACTAATCCTTGTTTATATTGATAGCAGAAATCAGACAAGAGATCAGTCGATAAAATTGTTTGTTATGCTTTTAGATTGACTCCAAAAAAAAAAAAAAATATTGTTTTAATTCAAACATCTGCAAGTGCTAGGATATAGGAAATTTTTCACTACGAAATCGAATGTATCTAGATATAAACAGCACATTAGTAACGAGACAATTATAGGCCAAAGCTAAGGGACGCTGTGCTAACGCTGATAATTTATAGAGACAATTGTCGAGATTACTGCCGACTCGAATGCTCACTGTTAATTATCTAGTTCCAAAAAGCGTTTGTTATTTCAGCTGTACAACGTTTGCACGATATATTGATAGCGTTATGATACAAAAGCGTATAGTAAAAATGAATTTTGCCAATGAGCAGGTATATATCTATAACTGACGATCTTGCGGCCTAGCGTTATTGCATAAATCACTATGAGATATATTCGGTGTAAAAATTAGGTGTGAAAGCCAGAATGGTAGCATTAGATTGAGTGGTCTGCCATATGCAGCTGTTAACGTAATCACACAGACTTCTGATACGAATAAACCCGATCGTTAAGAATGAGGGACGTTTCGCAGTTGCTAGGTTTCCTTACAGGACATACCGTATTTGCTGTTAGCAATGAGAACGTAACCCATTGAAAATTGGAAAGGTCTTTTATGTCAATATTATCTGAAAAATGTATGTCGCTCCTCGAGACTAAAACCTAATTTTCTCTGTCTAATCCTATCAAAGAAAAGAAAAGAAAATGCCGAATGATCTCAAAATGTCGAAATGCCCATATATACGTAGCGCATAGTGGAAATACTTCACACAATAAAAATAGTCGTTTCCTACGGTTCGCTTATAAATGATTCGTTTTGCAATAGTCTACGTCAAAAACAGATATCATGTCAATGAATATTGAATGTTCGAACAGCTTTGCCCAGTTTTCCCAAAACAAGAATTCGCTGAGGAACGACCCCATCGATAGTTGTCCTCATAAAAGGATCTGATGCCTAACGGTTTATAGGACAGGAACTGGGCATGGTTGTAGAATCGCAGACGTTCTGGAAGTATCCTGCAATTAGTTTAATAAAAAGTTTGAATGCATGCCCAGACCGTAGCACACTCTAGAGGTTCTCGTGGTAAACTGGACAACGGAACAAGCGGCATCTAGGCTCGATTGTCGAAACTGTCCTTGAAAAATAACGCATAACAGTATTGATTTTAACAACGTAAGTACAAGTTGTTTTGTGGTCCTTTTGCCACGGCAGTTTTTGGATAGAGACCATATAGATTTGTCAAATGGAAATCGCTGAGATCTTCTTTGGTGACATAACTCTACATTAAGTTGCGTATGAATAATAGCCAGAGTATTAAGTTGCCCTAGTAAAAATATGCTTAGGTTTTTAAGAGCCATTAATAGAAGAAATAGTTAAAAATTCTCATTTATATAAGGGGTTATTGAGGTTGATGCATGCGCGTCTTCTTGGCCTGGCATAAGTTGAGTTTGTAAGGTGATAATATTATCACATTTGTACTGAACTTTGCAACGCTGCATTCGCATCTTGAATAATACAATGTTAGAGAAACTGTGCTTGTTATGTCATTCGCGTACATAATGTTTTTTGTTTATAACTAACGTAAGTGTGCATAAAGGCGGCATTCAAATGTGTCGTCCTAAGAAAAGATGACCGACTACGTTACTGCGCGTGTGCTATGGGTGAGATAAATGGAAATCGTTGCATCTTCTAGCGCGCCCTGGGCTAAAGCTCGTTATTCAAGTACTTATTCTAACACCGTTCATGTATCATGACCTTCTGGTGATTTTTTTTTTTGCCGCAAAGGGCTTTTATAAGAAGCTTAGACGTGGCTCAGGCTCTTGATGTAGCCGGTTTACTATCCGTACCATAGGTTATTGTCATATGGCTTACATAAACCGTTGCCGTCTTATTTCATTTTTTTGACATTTAATCTCATGCTTAAGTTTCATGGGCAGTGAGTGACTCATACCGGCAAGGCATCGTCCTATGGGTTTAACGCACATATACCTTTCAGATAATTCTGTACGTTGTACTTTAAGTTTCGCTTGGACTTTTGTGATGATTTTATCTGCAGTGTGCTGTATGTACGGACGACATATGCAATTAAATATCAAGTTAAGGTCAAGCGAGGGTAGTACGAAGTAATCGCAGCGTTGAGAGATGGGCCCAAACGTTAAAATAGTAGAAGACAGGTATACGCGTGAGAAATTACCGCTAAACATCATACGCTGACCAATTGTCAGTCGGCAGTGAGCGCCTTGTTGCAAACGTAGATTTTGAATGGAATAATAAACGCTAATTTGGGTACCCTCTGGTAGTATCTTGAAAATCTGTGTGGGTTGTCTGACGGCTCGAGCAAAGTACTTAAAATAGGACTTTATTATAATATAAACCGATAGAAGGGATCTATCACAATGTCTGAATAAATAGAGCTAAAAATAAAAAGCACAAATAACACTCAATATATTTAATAGCTTGCAGTACTTCTGTTAGACACTGTTTTTAACGACTACTCGTTTTCTGCTGCCATTGCGCTGCATAGTCGTGTCTAACTCTACGCGTAAGGCGGTCCCTCTGAAAACATCATAGACCTTAAGGAAAACACTTTTCTTTACATATGGCCTATAACGATCGTAAATAAAGAATCAAAGCGTCCTCCGTTACATTGGTCGGATGCTAACCAAATATAGGAAAATGTGGCTTAAGTTTGAAGTAAATGATTCTTACTTATGAATAGAAAACGTAGCTTAAAATCTTACTCACTATAATATATTCGAGGTCAGCTTTTGTACTTCTCTCAATATAGGCAGATCATAGCGTTTTCCAATTTCCACAATAAAAGGAGCTTATTTTTCCACTGAAACAGCTTCCAACGCTAGCGGTGAGATAATAACTGCCACCCAACGCTCTAATCGCATTAAGCGATTCCATTGCGCTCACCAACACGATAACACAATTTGTCAGAGGATGAACTACAAATGATTTAGTATATGTAATGATACATGACAGTAACATGGTATTATCTCAAAAGATTTTCGTGCGAAAATAACACTACAGAAATGTTCCTGCATAAAAAGTACAATGGAAATTAACATGATATTACCGCTTCTACAATTGCATTTGTCCTACCTGCTACAACGTCCCAAGCGTTTCGTTTCCGAACAAACGACAGTTCAAGGATCGCGGACCTGTTTTTTTTAAATTGTTTTTTTTCCTCTTTTTTTTTTTCCACGTAATTTTCTAAGCAGGAGTGAAGTACCGTCGTCGTTTAGCAACGAGATTCGCGTATATCTAGCTAGCGACGAATGACGATTTTCAATATGACCAGTCTGCAGACAGTTGTGCTGCTGGTTCAGCGTTACCTTTCCCGTCAAGAGCGACGTAAGCGCCTTTATCATCGTTGCGTCCAGATAGAACAAATCTCTTAACATTACAAGCCCCATTTCTAAATGATGCCTGCTGTTAACCATAAGAAGATCGCACAGGAAGGACACGTCGCGGGCACGTAATACGGTATCGTAAGAAAAGATAACTGCTGAACGGGAATGTCACGATTACAACCGAGCCAGTCAGAATCACAATTAGAATTTCCTTTGTTGCTTAATCAACTACGCACGCTCTAATTATAATCGTATCATTAAGATATTCGTAATAAACAGAATCAAAAGATATCGTAGCTGATGCTAATACGATGCTTGTACGGTATACTGGCAGGAACGCATGCACTTAGCGCGGCCGCTGTATCCGTTACCGGATCATTGCTATACACTGGAGTGCGTTTTCGAGCAAGACGCCTTTGAATAGGCAACTCAACATTATTGTAGGTAATTTTTAGGTACATAGGACAAGGGTATCGATAACGATATGATGATGACAAATGACGCTCCGTTGGAAAGATAGTTCCTTAAATAAGTTGAGACAATTATAAACTATGCTGAAAAAATTCTTTTATTTAGCGAAAATGATCGAGTCAATTGAAGGAACCATCCACTGAATCCGAGATGATGTTATATTCTGCTTTTTTTTTTTTAGCTATATCAACATTAGATAGTTAAGTCGCTTTGAAGCGGGTAATAATAGCAGAAGTACTTACAGATGCGGATAAACTATAACATTCTTCCTATGCCATCTATGAGATAATTATATTTTGAGAAAAATTGTAAACTTAGCTTATCGACTCGCTTTTGGCTGCACGTATCGTTGATAGAGTTCGCCTTCTCCTAAGAGGTCCAGTAGTTGATAACGGAAATGATTTAAACGGTTCGAATAACGCTGTATAGTACTTAATTTATTTTTGATAATTGCGCCTGTCAAATAGGAAAAAAACATGCATCATCCCTTGAACATTGTAGGAGAGCCTCAAAACAGTGCCTACTAATCACTTCATCGAAGAAGACATTTTTTATGACAAATGATGTAACCGTGCCATTTCTAAGGATTCCCGCGCCATACGTATTTCAGTACATTCATGTCAGATGCGTAATACGCTAATAATAATAATCGAAATAACACATTTCTATGCATAATAACGTAAATAGACGGTAAAATAAACAAGGGCAGAAAAAAATGACATCATGATGTGACTGGTCACTCGCCGCGCCGCGAGTAACGTCTAACAGCGGCATGTGTAACCTATCCTCCAAAGGATGCCTGTTTCCTTTGAGTTGACTTCGATCACGCTCACCCGTGCAAAAATTATGAAACATGCTAATAAATTTAAATTTGGACTCATATCTGCTAAATTCAGAAAGCGGAAGAGGTCTATAATGCAAAAAAAAAAAAGGATATTAATTAGCGCTCTAAGCTTAAACATGAAGATAGACAGTGACGTACGATACAGCATCGAGGTACGTTACTCGTCCGCTTCCTATTCCATCTACCGCTGCCTACCCCGCTCCGATCAGACGCGACGTGCTATTTCATAACCGATGACATGACACTGCTAAAAATTGTAAAAGTCAGCTACGCGAGGTCGTCTGATGTTTAAATAGTTTGGTGAATCTCGTTATGATATATCTAAACAACCTATCTATTCCACTAAATGAATGCAAATGTAGATTGCCCGTAAGGCGGTTTAGGATTTAACGATTTAGTCCTGGATTTGCACACAAAACAATGAAATACATAGAAAAAAGAACGCTAACATGGAAACGTGCTATCGAAACATATAGTATAGATGTTTGTATTACATGACTAATGAACCGAGAGGCCTATCATCTGTGAAATTAACAAGCCATCTTCTCAGCCGAGCAAACTCGATGTGTCGTCGCAGCAAATAAGAGCAACACAATTTATATATCAACATAGACAATGAGGAAGGATCCGGTTTGTACTCGTATCCGGCCAGGCCTTCTAATCTTAGGAACATGTTGCGGTCTAGGTTCGAACCCGAGCACAGACAGACAGACTCCGTTTCGCGCTGGAGCCAGCTATCTGTCTGACTGAATGGCAATACTAGACGTAAAACTCGAATTTGTATAAACTCCGTTAATTTTGCCTACATCAAAGCATAAGACTGTACCCTATACATGGGCGGAATGAATGGTCCCGAATCAGTTGTTAAATGATTTTCCCGTGGTACGTACACAGCGGGCGCTTAATAACAGCTCGAAATTGTTACACCGTATATATATATATATGTAGGAGTGATATCTATAAGTATTTCTAACTGGAAATTCAAGCTGAAATCTGAGTCCGTCGTAGCGTTTTTGGATCGACTCGAGCCGATTTATTCCTTATTATCCACTTATTACCTTATTTTCCACTAAGAACCGCGCTTGCTCGAGTACCGGTGGTTTTTAGCCATCTTGCCATATGCAATGCCCAGATGCCGCCTCATGCGGCCTCCCACATTTCTTCTCTGAACTCAGAATTATGGCAAAATGTAGAGGCAGGCATTTTATTTGTAGATTATTCGCACACATGTCACGAGGTACACAAGGTATCGAGGTGAGCAATTTGCCGACACATGCGCTGATGACACACCACTTCGGGCTTACCCTATTTTCTTATTTCTTTCGCTGTCGTAGTTATTGCGGGTGCGGCAGTCGATGACAGCTGTACTGATTTATAACCTCTAGGGCTTTCTAGAGGTTCCTTTGCGAGTGCTAACTTCAAGCTTCTCCAAATCAGACAAGCGACAAGCGGAAACAAAGGGCTAATTTTGTCCTAACGACGAATCGCTACCTCCCGTCAACATCTCGGCTTCTTCGTTCTTCTTTATTTAAACAATTCGTATTTATTTAGTAGTCAGCGCCATGAGCTTTTCTCGGATTTTTGTTGGCAAACATGCAAGCCTATTTCCCCCTATCATCCTAACAATAGCAACAACGCACAGAACGCTGATAGTAAAAAGGATGCAGTAATGATTGAGATATCGATTCGTAGACCTGTACTGTGTATCGCGTCTGTTTAAATTATACACTTTGTAAACAACATTGATAAGGACAGGTTTTCGAGACCCAGAACTGCTAGCCAAAATGCATGGACCCCTGTACTGTGCTATAGCCGCTATTAATTACCTGTCACCAACGCATTTTCCATCTGCGCTAATAACAGCGTTGTTTGTTGGATTTCTAGAGGTTTTCATATGAAACGGAAGCTAAAACAAACTGATCAACGTTGTCGAGTATATCCTTGGTTGGGTCGAATTTGTAGCTTAGCGACTACTGACGTCTCGTCGAATTGTTACTAATTACTGGGTTAATGTGGCCTTTTTTTTTGGGTTGGCGTTGGCGTAGATTGATTACGCGTATACTTCCATTACTTCCTTCAGTTTTATTAGACAGAGTTAGCAACTGATAGATGTCGTTAGAATGATACTAATTTATACGCTCTAACGATATAGAATTGACAAATTCAAACAGATCAGCAGAACACAACTATTTAGTTATGATATTAATAATAAGTAAGATCAACTTAGTGTTGCGGCGTCAAGATCGTTGTCTTCCGTACAAAGTTGAGATTTATGGCTGTCTTATGGGAATCCACTAGCTTCTCCTAATTCCGCAAATGAGCATTTATATATTAATAAAGTATACTGCTAATTAACGTTTAAGTTAAGTATGCATTTGTTTGCTAAAATGTTGTATGTAGTCACTCTACAATGGGTCTAGAAAGGCACGATGTTCTTCGTGTTCGTGCCGGATTCAACGGGACGAATTGGACTTGACAAATGTTCGACTATCTATAAAGTTAACCCTGAATCGTCCAACATTACTATATATATATAACGATATTAAAACTGCGAAAGAATTTTAGCGGCTTCGATGATCCTTAACCGTGTTGTCATCCAATGCTACTATACCCCTCGATTACGTTGCCTATTTTCGCTCATGCCTGCTTGCCGGAACGGTGGTCAAAGTGCACAGTATGCTTTGCCTACACTAGGGTCAAGATAAATGTATATTAGTTGTTACCAAATAATTTTACTATGTACTATGAACGCACATGTTCTGCTACGGTGGACCTTATTTAAACATGTTCGCCTAACGTATCTCCTGCAGTTGCTAGCTATTCCGTTCCTAACTCCGTCTAGCGACCGTGTATCGATGCGGACGGCCGCGTCTCTTATGGAAGTATTTCATTACCGTATTCAATAAGAAATATTGACAACTAAAATCTCTTGAGTTCTGCTCTTTTCGTATCTGGAGTATTTTTCTTTTTTCTTTTGGTAATTTGAGTTGTACAATTGTCGACGTAAATCTGAATTGGGATTGTGTGTAAATGTTCTCCTTCTAGCCTGTGAGTTCATCCGTTGTTAAATTTAATAATAACCTATATGGCTATATTCAGATAATCGCAATATTAGACCCGAAGGCTGAATGATGCAATACGGTCAAAAGTGACGTCTTTAGACCATGAGCGTAGCTAGTTTTCTGAGACGTTTTTTGTACGCAGTATATCAACCCGTGGCCATTAGTAATGACATCTCATCGGTAGATCTTGGCAAAAAGCACACTTCACTTCGAATGTCAGCAGAAGCTGTACTTGTGCACTACATCACCGTAAGGGCTGTTTTGGCCCATCGAAAAGTTGTTTTGCAGTGTTCGAGAGCTATGGATTTCGTAGATTTCATTGAAATACAACGATATATATATATATATATATATATCGTTGTATTTCCATATATATATATATATATATGGACAACAACAACATATATGGAGTTAAAAATTGAAGAAACTGAAATAAGTTGGACGGAACTGGTGCTTCATATTTGAACATTGCGTTAAAGTTCGTTGTCGGTGG